CCCCCAAAGTAGAGCTGTGGCTCAAGGTAGAGTGCTAGTTGTGATCTAAAGAAGCTCAGAGACAGCACCCAGGCCCTGAGTTCAATTCCCAGGACTGGAAGGAGAGGAAAAAAAAAAAAGAATCGCTTAGATTTTCCTGCTTGGGCTGGCTTTGAATTTCGATCCTCAGATTTCAGCCTCCTGAGAGGCTAGGATTTAGGAGTGAGCCATCAGTGGCCAGTTACAATTGTCTTTTTAAAAAATATGTAACAACCCTTATCCCATATTTCTTTTTTGTAGAATATTCTTCTACAAAGTATACATTCACTATGAGACACATAGCATACTTTCAATACCTGATCAAAATTAATGAATTAAATTTAGAATTAAAATATTCTTGAATGATTTCTTTTTTAGCTGTACTAGGAGAATTCTGTCCATTGGTCTCCAGATTCTGTATAGTATCTTACTTAGAGGCTATTTCTGGTCAGTATGTTTCATGTGCTAGTTTTAGCTTTTTGTTACTCATATTTATGTGTATTTAATTTAGTGATCTACATGTAGATGTTCTTATTTTATCTTTTCAAACTTGACAGTAATATTGGTTCTTACTACTACTTGGCATGCCTCATGCTTCTTTTAGGGCCCTATCAGATCTGAACAAAGATGGGAAAATGGACCAGCAAGAATTCTCCATAGCTATGAAGCTCATCAAACTAAAACTTCAAGGCCAACAGTTGCCTGTGGTTCTCCCTCCTATTATGAAACAACCCCCTATGTTCTCTCCATTAATTTCTGCTCGGTTTGGTATGTACTTAATTTAATAAACTGTGTAGGAGTGTTCTGCTTGATTAGTAGACATAATACTTGTGGATCAGAAAAGGATTTGCTAGCACACAGTGATAATCCTCAAGCACAAGTTAATTTTAATGTCTAAGAAATATTAAATTCAATATCCTAGCTAAGGTGTCTGTTTGTTCCAATTTTCTAGTAATATTTTTGGTGTATATCTTTTATTCTGGCGTTTGGTCTAGTCAGTATCCCCTTTCACATATTTCCCAGGTGGGTAGTAAGTTATATGTCCTCCTTCCTACTTTAGGGTACTACCAATCCTAATTACTATTCTTAATTTTTTTCTATGTTCTCATGGAAATAGAAAGTAGAATTGTGGTTACCACAAGCTAGGATTATAGGTATGAGCTACTGGCACCTGGCTAAAACATTCTACTTTTGAAGAAACTATTTTTTTTTTGTCAGTCGTGAGATTTGAACTCTGGGCTTGGGCACTGTCCCTCAACTCTTCAGTTCAAGGCTAGCGTTCTACCACTTGAGCCACAGCACACCTTCCAGTTTTTGGAGTGGTTTATTGGAGATAAGAGTCTTACGACTTTTCCTGCCTGGATTGGCTTTGAACCGCGATCCTCAGATCTCAGCCTCCTGAGTAGCTAGGATTACAGGTATGAGCCACTGGCGCCCGGCTTAAAGAAACTAATATTTAATTAGAAATGGTAATTTATTTTTAAACAGTGTGGGAAAAGGGAATCTTTAACTGATTAGTAGATATTTTCTTAGTTTATACAGGGCAGAGTAGTAATATTAAAAGCAGTAGTTGCTGGGCACCAGTGGTTGACACCTGTAATCCTAGCTACTTAAGAGACTGAGACCTGAGGATAGAGGTTTGAAGCCAACCTGGGCAGGAAAGTCCATCAGACTCTTATCTCCAAATAACCACCAAAAAGCCAGAAGTACTGTGCCTCAAAGTAGTAGAGCACTAGCCTTGAGCACTCCCCGCCCCCCCCTCCCCCACAGCAGTAGTTTATTGTGTTCACTTCTGGTTCAAGTTGCTTTAATAAATATTTTAGAATATTTTTCTTACCGTTTCTGTAACTGCTTACTATATTGTAACTTGCTTTCTATATGTGTTTTATAGTTGATGTGCTAACACTGAAAAATGAGTTTTCTTTTATCTTTAGGGATGGGAAGCATGCCCAATCTGTCCATTCCGCAGTCACTGCCTCCAGTTGCACCTGTAACACCCCTGTCTTCTGCAACTTCAGGGACCAGTCTTCCTCCCTTAATGATGCCTGCTCCCCTAGTGCCTTCTGTTAGTACATCATCACTACCAAATGGAACCACCAGTCTTATTCAGCCTTTATCCATTCCCTATTCTTCTTCAAGTAAGTGTTTAGTCAGTCAATATTTCATGTAAAGAAATTGCTGTAATTGTGTTCAAGTCTATAGATACTGACTTTCTTTGTGTTTAATGTGACTTTTTCCTACCCTCTTTTTTCTTTTTTTTTTTTAGCATTGCCTCATACATCATCCTATAGTCTGATGATGGGTGGATTTGGAGGTGCTAGTATACAGAAGGCCCAGTCTCTGATTGACTTAGGATCTAGTAGGTATGACTCCTTAACATTTGTAATATTTTATGTTTTAAATAAAGAGTATTTATTTGATAAATTCTCAGCTTATCTAGATTTTACTTTGCAGTGGTCAAAAAATAAGTACTTAACTCTCATAAACTAATTTTTTTTAATTTTTAAAAGTATTAAATATCTGGCATTTTACTTTTGAAAAAATATGTAAACTAAAAAATGTTCTCCTACATTTTAGTCAACTTTTTGCCCCAAATTATGTAGTTTTCTTTTAAAAACAAAACAAAAACAAAGTATGTGTGTACACAGTACTTCTCAAAATGTCTGAATCATTGACATTATTCATTTTTTTTTCTTAAGTAAATATTGATGATTTGGGCTTTTTTTTTTTTTTTTTGTCAGTCATGGGGCTTGAACTCAGCCTGGGCACTGTCCCTCAGCTCAAGGCGAATGCTCTACCACTTGAGCCACAGTACCACTTCCAGTTTTCTGATGGTTAATTGGAAATAAGAGTCTCATAGACTTTCCTGCCTGGGCTGGCTTTGAATAGTGATCCTTAGATCTAAGCCTCCTGAGTAGCTAGGATTACAAGCCTGAGCCACCGGCATCTAGCTTATGCTTTTTTTTTTAAAATAAGTTTTAGAAAGCACATAATCATTCATCATCTCATAGAAATCATCAGTATGTTCTCCATTGTACAGTGTTAATTTTGACTCAGCACAGCATTTGTATCAGAGCTTAACCACTCATTAATTTGGGTGTTTAAAATTTTCTTAACCTTACTGAGTCTTAGATTACACAACTAAAATATGGGGACAGTAATTTCTCTTAAGTTTGTTTGGAAGATTCAAAGTGATATTTGTAAGCCCTGGTGTATTGTGTCTTCTTGATATATTGTGTTCTAGTACTTGTGTTACTAAGAATAACGATGATCACTAGAATTTAAATTTTTGAAAATTAGCAAATACAAAATCATTTACTGTCATTTTATATAAGATGGTTCTTAATATCTTTTATAAAGTTTAAGTAAATTTCAGTTAGTAACAAAATCTTAAATATATTTTGTTATAGCTCAACTTCTTCAACTGCTTCACTTACCGGGAACTCACCCAAGACTGGAACCTCAGAATGGGCAGTTCCTCAGCCTTCAAGATTGAAATATCGGCAAAAATTTAATAGTCTCGACAAAAGCATGAGTGGGTACCTCTCAGGTAAGCAGCATACAATGTTTAGCAGTATGAGTTAGTTTTTTATATGTAAACTTTCTTTGAAAAACTGTTATTTGAACTTGTACTTTGCAGCTTATCTATAAGTTTTAATATTCAAGAAATTTAGAAGGCATTTGACAAGTTGTGTAAGAAGTCAAAGATGGATTTAATTTTTTAGTTTGCTTTCTTGAGAGGTTATCTGTGTGTGTGTATGAGTGCCAGTACTGGGGTTTGAATTCAGGTCTCACTCTTTCACAGCTTTTTTGCTCATGCTGGGATGAACTTTTTTGAACTCATATTTTTATTTTTTTTTTACATCTTAGCAAAAGTAGATTGAAAAGACATGTTGAAAATGTTTCTATCCTACATGTCTATCAACAGAATAGATAAGTGAACTGTGATGTATTTGTATAAAAGAATGCTTTACAGCAATTAAAAAATAATGACCTGATATATATAACAATGTGAATGAATTTCACTTTCTATACAGGTATAGAAAGAAGGTGTGCACAAAAGATACTTACTTTTTAACTCATTTGTATATATCTAAAGATTACAAAATCTAATTAATGGTGAAAGAAATTAGAATGCCATAATTATTCTTGTTGGGAAGGGCCGCCCATATATAAACCTTCTGAGGTGCTGGAAACATTCTATGAATTGAACTGAATGCAGAGTGCATGTATGCTTACCTATATAAAAATTCATCTGGCATCACTCAAGATTAGTACACTTTAGGAAGCAGAGATATTGTTTAAGCAGTAATGCACTGCCTTGAGGGAAAAGCAAAACCAGAGCAGAAGGCCTTGAGTTTAAGTCCCAGTACTGAAGAGCAGTGAATGGAAATCAGCTGAGAGGAAATGATCACTATTGTCAATTTATTTGTGTATGTCATGTTATATGAAGGTTTTCAGAGAGTGCTATTCTCGGCCTTACAAGGATAAAACCATTATCTATGTAAGAAAGAGCAGGATTTTCTTTTAAAAAGAAGTTACTTCTAGTGTCCTAAAATTGAGCACATACCTCAAGTAGATGAGGACGACTAATGCACACTTACATGTTAATGCTTTGTTCAGTCAATGAAGCAACTAGTGGTCTAATTTTCTTCCTTTTGTTTTCCTCTTATCCCCCAAACCTGTCACCTTGGATTTATTTATATCAGTTCTTTGGTTCAGATATTCCTCAGTCTCATATCTTCTAGATATTCTCTTGACGCAGAGAATAGAAGGGACAGCATTAGAGCAGAGAAGATAGCCTATCCCAAGGATTGGCAAGAAGCTGTGTGATCAAGTGAGCTTTTCTTAGTAAGGTACTCTGCTGGCTCTTGGAGGCCTTTTGTATTGTTCAGACTTTGTCTGCACTCAGAGTCCTCCAGCATCTGTTTTTGACCATTCATATTTTTTTTCATCCTATCTGTCCTATTGCCTCATGCTAAGTGGTATTCTTTAAGTTATCTTTGTCCAAGAGCTAAAATATTATTGAATTTTTTCCAGGTCTGAAATAGCCTTCTATTTCTCATGATTAGAAGAATCTTCCTTTTAATGCAGGAACCTCCTCAAATCTCACTTTGCGTGTGAAAGCTAAAGAGTAATCAGTTGAGTGGAGCTATAAGCTATACCCAGAGTTTTTCTTTATATAATTTCTATTAAGTGGTCATATTAAAAAAGTAGAATGATGCCAGGCACCAGTGGCTCACATCTGTAATCTTAGCTACTTAGTAAGCTGAGTTCTGAGGATCATGGTTTGAAGCCAACCTGGGCAGGAAGTCCATAAGACTCTTATCGTCAGTTAACTACCAAAAAGCCAGAAGTAGAGCTGGAGCTTTGTGGTAGAGTGCTAACCTTGAGCAGAAAAAGCTGAAGGACAGCACACAGGCCTTGAGTGCAAACCCTAGTGTGCCCAAGAGCACGCGCACGTGCACTCTCTCTCTCTCTCTCTCTCTCTCTCTCTCTCTCACACACACACACACACACACACACAATGAGCCCGGCACCAATAGCTCACACCTATAATTCTAGCTACTCAGGAGGCTGAGATCTGAGGATTACATTTTAAGCCAGTCCAGCCAGACAAATCCAAGAGACTGTCATCTCCAAATAATCAGAAAAAAAAAATAATAGCCCAAACTGGAGGCTATAGCTCAAGTGGTAGAGTATAGTCACAAGCAAAAAAGGCAGCAAGAGCTCAATACCCTGTGTTCATGTCTCAGTAGCAGCACACACAAAAAAGAAATAAATAATCATGTAAGAAAGGTTTAAAAGTTGTAAAATACAGCTGGGTGCTGGTGGCTCATGCCTGTAATCCTAGCTACTCAGGAGGCTGAGTTCTGAGGATCACAGTTCAAAGCCAGCCCATGCAGGAAAGTCCATGAGACTCTTATCTCCAATAAACCACTAGTAAACCAGAAGTGGCACTGTGACTCAAGAGGTAGAGTGCTTACCTTGAGCTGAAGAGCACAGAGATAGTACCCAAGCCCAGAGTTCAAGCCCCAAGACTGACAAAAAAAAAGTTGTAAAATACAAACATTGAATAATACTTAGAGTTTTGATTAGCAAGTCCTCTAAAGTTGTTAACTGTGTTTTTTTTTTTTTCTGGCTTAGTATCAGGAGCTACATCTCAGGAAGGTAGTTATGTACTTAGTTTTATGCAGAGTCATGTTGTATAGGACCCAACTAAGCATAAGCCCAGAGTAGAAGCTGACTCTTCTGGTTCTCATGGCCAGTCACCTAGAAGTGAAGATGGGGTACCCACTTAACCAACAAGAAGACCATTCTTAGAGAAGCCGCATGGTTTTTATCCATGGTCTAGTAATCCACAGACTAGCTGAACAGGAATCAGTAAGCCTCTGAAGCTTACAGGGATTTTCTGCCCTGGAGCATATATTCTTGGATTCTGTGGGTCTGTTTTCCTGGTATGACATTCCAGTTCAGGAAATATATTACAAAAACACTTTTTATTACTAAAGAGGAGAAAAGTTGAGCAATTTACTATACATAGTAAGCCTTCAATAAAAGTTATTATTGCCAAATGCTATTATTGCCAAACCCTTGTGTTTTAAATAGTGGAGAACCAGATTCTAACTTGATTCATTATTTTAGCAAATACTTATTTTAAGTATCCATTTGTTAGGTATTGGATATGCATTCATGAATTAAGTAGGTTTTTTTTATCTCATTAGATTTTAGTAGTGTAATTGTGGAAACAGACAATAAAAACAAGCGTATAAAAAGATAGTAGAAGTTGTAGTACATGATATAAAAGAAACAGGAAGTATATCGGATGATACTGTGGACAGAGGAAACCTTTTTGAGAAAGTCACATTAAATTGAGATTTATATGGTAAGGAAGACCAGCTAGGTAGCATAGAATTAAGACTTGGTGTTGGATATGAGTATATAGAAAGAGGGGAATCAAAGAAGCCATTTAGATTTCTAGCTTGAGCCATTTGGTGGACCGTGATGCCATTTGAAAAGAAAGAAAAACTGAGGGGAAATGATTTGAGGTAAAAACAGAAAACAGACATGGATGGGAATAGAGAATTACCTAGTTTGAGATGTCTCTGAAATGCATGAATAGGTTTTTGGTTAAAGTTACAAGTATAAAATTAGAGGAGAGGTTTGGACTACAGATGTATATTTGAGGATCACCAGGCTTTAGGGGCTATTGAAAGCCATACAAATGGATGGGAATCCGGGCAACAAAGGGGTGTCCAGGAGAGTCCTTGGAAGAATGGCAGCATTTAGAGATTCCTTAGGGAAAGGTATAATGGAGACAGAGGAATGGTCAGAAAAGAGAAATTCTGAGAATGGGGTAAGGAAGTCCCGTTAGAGTACAAGAAGGCTACGAGTTCTTAGCCTTTCATACTCTTCCTTCACCTCAGCCACTTGTACGTATTGATACCTTGATGAAAGAACACTGGGGAGAGCACTTCCCTTAATAATTCTAGATTTTAAACTTCTTGCAGCAGAACTGTATTTGATTACTACTGAATACTGAGCATATGGTAAAATATTTAATGTTAAAAGTTCCCAAGAAGTAGTAATAGTATTTATAGGTATAGTTGTTTGGGTTTAAATGACTTTCAAAAAGCTAAATAATTTTTTCTTTATGGTTTTCCCATTCATTCAGGTTTTCAAGCTAGAAATGCCCTTCTTCAGTCAAATCTTTCCCAAACTCAGCTAGCTACTATTTGGTGAGTTTGTCCATTACTAAGATTTTTGCCTATACTTGCCTCTATTATTAAAAAAAATTATCTGGAAGATTACTTCTACCAAAAAACAAAAAAGAGAAATGTAATTGTTTCTATAAAATTTCATTAAAACTACTCCATGAAAGTGACCATTTGAGGGCTGGGAATGTGGCTTAGTGGTAGATTGCTTGTCTAATATGCATGAAGCCCTGGTTTCGATTCCTTACTACCACATTAACAGAAGAAGCCAGAAGTGACGCTGTAGCTCAAGCAGTAGAGTGCTAGCCTTGAGCAAAAGAAGCTCAGGGACAGTGCCTGGGCCCTGAGTTCAAGCCCCAGGACTGGCAAAAAAATTAAAATAAGAATTGGGTTCAGGCAAGCTATAATTATAGGGGTGAACCACCTGTCTGGCTAAAACTGTAATTTATAAAATGACTTCTGTGGAAAATCAGAGAATTTCTAATATGCCTAATTTTTTTTTTCTTGTCCATCATGGGGCTTGAATTCTAGGCCTGAACTCTGTCCTCAGCTCTTCAGCTCAAAGCTAGCACTTTACCATTTAAGCCACTGCACCACTTCCGGTTTTCTGAGTGGTTTATTGGAGATCGGAGTCTCACAGACTTTCCTGCCTAGGCTGGCTTTGAACCTTGATCCTCAGATCTCAGCCTCCAGAGTAGCTAGAATTATGAGCCACCGGCTCCCAGCCCTAAATGTGTTTTGAGTGATGCCTTGAACTTGAAATAAGATAAGGACTTTCCAGAGTGGGTATTTCCTATTCTGTTACATAATTTCTGTTCTGTTTTTTTGGATTATGAAAATAAAGAGTAAAAATGAACTCACTTTCTTGTATTTATTTACATTTCACTAAAATATGTTAACTCAGCAGTTTTACTCTCATGATTATTTTTTTTTCTTTTTTTTTTTTTGGCCAGTCCTGGGGCTTGAACTCAGGGCCTGGGCATTGTCCCTGAACTTCTTTTGCTCAAGTCTAGCCTTCTACCACTTGAGCCACAATTCCACTTCTGGCTTTTTTTTTTTTTTTCTGTTTTAGGGGTACTAAGGAATCAAACTCAGGGCTACATGCATGCTGGGCAAGCACTGTACCACTAGGCCACATTCCCAGCCCCTCATGATTATTCTTTGGAAAATAAAAAAATTATACTCTTCAGCCAGGTGCTGATAGCTACTCAGGAGACTGAAATCTGAGGATCACAGTTAGAAGCCAGCTTAGGCAGGAAAGTGTGGGACTTTGTAACCAGAAAAAGCCAGAACTGGACCTGTGGCTCAAGTGGTACAGTGCTAGCCTTGAGCAAAAAAGCTCAGGGACAATGTTCAGGCCCTGAGTTTGAGTCCTAAGACCAGCACTAAAAAAAGAATTATACTCTTCAAACATCATGAAGTATTTTATTAAAAATAGACTTTCTGGGCTGGGATGTAGCTCAGTGGCAAAGTGCTTGCCTAGCAAGTGCAGCATCCTGGGTTCGATTCCCAGTACCAAAAAAAAGAAAAGACAAAATTACAGTTAAAAAATAGACTTTCTAAGTTGTCAGTTTTTTATTTTCTTTAGGACTCTGGCTGACATTGATGGTGATGGACAATTAAAAGCTGAAGAGTTTATCTTAGCTATGCATCTCACTGATATGGCCAAAGCTGGGCAGCCATTACCACTGACTTTACCTCCTGAGCTTGTCCCTCCATCTTTCAGGTGAGTGTCTTTAGAAGTGAAGAGCTGTTGTTGTTTTTTAATTACTTAGCAGGTATGATTTTACTTTGGATTTACTGGGCCTCTGCTCCAGTTTTAAAAGAGAGTGAAATGTTTTCACTGACATTTGATGTCAGTAGTCAGTGAGTTATACTAGAAAGGTGTACACATGGGAAGTAGATGTATTTTCACACTATATTACATAGATAAGGCACTGAAAATTAAAGAGATTAAGAGAAGGGCTAGAAGCATGGCTCAAGTGATAGAGCACCTACCTGATGACTTGACCCCTCCCCCCCAAAAAAGATTTTAAGAAAAACTTGCCCAAGAATAGCAATTAGCTGAAGTGTAATTTGAGCCATTGTAACTAGAAACAGGTAGTTTTGTATGTTGTAAATATTAAATTTCTTTAATCATTTATAGTTTTTTTTTTTCCTTTGTAGTGCTAGGTTTTTAACTCAGGGCTTGAAATTTGCTAGGCAAGCACTTTACCTTTTTTTTTTTTTTGCCGGTCATGGGGCCTGAACTCTGGGTCTGGGAGCTGTCCCTTAGCTGGAGCCACAGCGCCACTTCCGGCTTTTTCTGTTTATGTGGTGCTGAGGAATCGAACCCAGGGCCTCATGCTTGCAAGGCATGCACTCTACCGCTGAGCTACTTTCCCAGCCCGCACTTTACCATTTGAATCCTAACCTTAGGCCTTTTTTTATTTATCAGCTAGGATTTTATTTACCAGCTAGGATCTTGTGATTTTGCCCAGGACTTGCCTTGGGTTTTGAACCACATTTCTACTTACTGCATAGCTGGGATTATAGATGTGTATTATTACTACATCCAATTTATTAGCTCCTGCTGGCTGCAAATGACAGTTCTCTCTTTAAAAGTAGTTGGAATTATATGCAGATCCCACTATACTCTGTCTATTGGTCTGTATTTTTAAGTCTGACAGATTGTATGATATTAAATTTGTATTTCGTTGTTTTTCTTAGAGGAGGAAAGCAAATTGATTCCATTAATGGAACTCTGCCTTCATATCAGAAAATGCAAGAAGAAGAACCTCAGAAGAAATTACCAGGTATTATTCAGTATCTAAGTTGTATACTTATAATCAGTTCTTTTAAATTTTACACTGAAACATACGTAAATATTTAAAATGTTTACACCTTTAAATTTTTATAGGGATTTTATGGATTTTTAGGGATTTTATGGATTTTTAAAAAAAATTGTTTTAGTGCTGGGCCTTTTAACATACTAAGCAAACATTTTACCACTGAGCTACATCCCCAGCTTGATGGGATAGATTTTTAATATTGATAGTAAAGATAGTAAAAATGAAAAGACTAAGGAGGAAGAGGAGAACTTGGAAAGAATTAAGCACTCAAGTTAGAATGTTTCTCCCACTCAGGGAGATTTATTAGAGCAAGTTTGTGATGAAATGTTTAGGTTTTTTTAAAGTAAAGGTTTGAAATATTGGTTGAAAGAATACACACACATGTAACCATTCTTTTTTTTTTTTTTTTTTGCCAGTTCTGGGGCTTGAACTTAGGGCCTAGGTACCATCCCTGAGCCTTATGCTCAAAGCTAGTGCTCTACCACTTGAGCCACAAGGCCACGTATAGCTTTTTTCTGTGATTAATTGGAGATAAGAGTCGCACAGATTTTCCTGCCCAATCTGGCTTCACACTGCAGTCTTCTGATTTCAGACTCCTGAGTAGCTAGGATTACATGTGTGAGCCATTCGTGCCTAGCACATGTAACTATTTTAAATTATTAAAAAGTTAATGACATATGTCAAGTAAACCAAATATATAGCCATATAGCTATGATTATCTTTGCAGAAAACTCTGAAGAAAACATTGAACAGTATACAGTTGTACATAGAATGGTATTTACACAGAAATTTGTTTTCTTTTCTTTTTTTGGGGGGGGGGTCCGGTTGCGGGGCCTGAACTCTGGGCCTGGGCGCTGTCCCTCAGCTCTTCAGCTCAAGGCTAGCGTTCTACCACTGGAGCCACAGCACCACTTCTGGCTTTTTTTTTTTTTTTTTTTGCTTATGTGGTGCTGGGGAATCGAACCCAGCGCCTCATACATTGCAAGGCAAGCGCTCTACCACTGAGCCACCTTCCCAGCCCAAGAAATTTGTTTTCTTAAATATTTTTAGAAGACAGTATGTATTTTTTCTATTTATGTTTATTTTTTCCACTTACATTTGAGTGAGAGCACTCACAATGACTAGGCATGTGTTGAACTAGATTCAGTTGGCTCTTACTATGTGAGAGCTTACGTGTAATTTATTTAGTTACTTTTGAGGACAAGCGGAAAGCCAACTATGAGCGAGGGAATATGGAACTGGAAAAGCGACGCCAAGTCTTGATGGAGCAACAGCAGAGGGAGGCAGAACGTAAAGCCCAGAAAGAAAAGGAAGAGTGGGAGCGAAAACAGAGAGAATTACAAGAACAAGAATGGAAGAAACAACTTGAATTAGAAAAACGCTTGGAGAAACAGAGGGAACTAGAGAGACAACGAGAAGAAGAAAGGAGAAAGGAGATAGAAAGACGAGAGGTATTTTTAACTTATTTCTTGAGAAAATCATTAATTTCATAAGTAATTTCAATTAATAAAAACATAGGCTAGGAATGTGGCTTAGTGCTAGAGTGCTTGCCTAGCATGCATGAAGCCCTGGGTTCCATTCCTCAGTACCACATAAACAGAAAAAGCCAGAAGTGGAGCTGTGGCTCAAGTGGTAGAGTGCTAGCCTTTAGCAAAAGAAGCTCAGGGACAGTGCCTAGTCCCTGAGTTCAAGCTCCAGGACTGGCAAAAAAAAAAAAAAAGGCTTATTTAAAAAATTTTAGTTTGCCTTTTTCTCTGTATTGTCTTATTCTTAGTTATCCTATACAACTCTGAATGTCTCTCTTCCCCTGAGGAGAGAAAGAGGGTCTAGGCTGGTATGTGGGAGAGAGAGCATTACTGTAGATGATACCTCAGTCAAAGGAGGGTTGGTTGCACAGCTGAGTTGAGTAAGGAGCCAGTGAAATGAGTCAGGCTGAGCAGGTTATTATATAAATGCATGATTGGACTTCAGATGAATAGTATCAGAAATTGGAGACAGATGGGAGTGAAGGTCTAGAGAAAAATCAAGATGGTGGCCTTATACAAGTCCATAGTAGAGGGTTCATTTGGGTCCCTAGGACTTTTCTATGTATTTTAAAGGGCTAAGGATAGAACATAGTTATTATTCACTGAAAAACTATAATTGGATTTTAAAATTTTTAATATAAGAATAAATGTTTAATTATTCCTCTTAACATTTGTATTTATGAAATCATACTTTAACCTCATAAAAGAAAAAAATGCAGTCATGGTATTTAATATATACTATATGGAAAGTGAATTGTGCAACTTGTAGACAGGGATGGGAGAAGGAAACTGGGGGAAAGTGAAGGAAGGGATGCTATTATCCAAAAGAAAATGTACAGATTACCTGAATTGTGAAGTGGTAGCCCTTAATGGTACTATATAACACCTAAGTAATAATAGTGCCTGGGCACTGTCCCTCTGTTCTTCAGCTCAAGGCTAGCACTCTGCCACTTGAGTCACAGCGCCACTTCTGGCTTTTTCTGCTTATGTGGTGCTGAGGAATGGATCTAAGGGCCTCATGCATGCAAGACAAGCACTCTACCATTGAGCCACCTTCCCAGCCCCATAATAAAATATTTTAAAAACAAAATAAACATTTGAAATCAGAAAAAAGAAAAGAGGAAAAAAAAAGAAAAAAATAAGAATGATTCTTAGAAGCAATCAAAAAGTAGTGGCTCCTGCCTTTAATCTTAGCTACTCAAGAGGCTGAGCTCTGAGGATTATGGTTCCAAGCCAGCCCAGGCAGAAAATTCTCATGAGACTCTTAGCTCCAATTAACCAGTCAAAACCTGGTAGTGGAGCTGTGGCTCAAAAGTGTAGTATTCTAGCCTTGAGAAGAATAGCTCAGGGATAGCACCTAGGCTCTAAGTTCAAGCCCCATAACCACCACCAAAAACAAAGTATTGGATAAAGTCACTTTTGTGAAAGTCTTTAGATCATAAAATTAGATTTTCCCACTTGATGCACTTTGGCTTACTAAATGCTAGAAGCTATCATCCTATCAGTTTTTAAAAATAATTCCAGAGTTTTAATTAAAAACTGACTTTAATGCATTATTTTCAGGCAGCAAAACAAGAACTTGAACGACAACGTCGATTAGAATGGGAAAGAATTCGTCGACAGGAGCTTCTCAATCAAAAGAATAGAGAACAAGAAGAAATTGTCAGGTTAAACTCTAAGAAGAAGAGTCTTCATCTCGAGTTGGAAGCATTGGTATGGCTAAAATTAAGTGGGATTTATCTAATGATGCTGAAAAATGCAGGGGTTTTTTGTTTTGTTTTTTGTTTTTGTCAGTTGTGGGGCTTGAACTCTGGGCTTGGGTACTGTTTGTCAGCTCTTCAGCTCAAGGTGAGCATCTACCACTTGAGCCACAGCTCTACTTCTGGTTTTCTGGTGGTTAATTGGAGATAAGAGTCTCATGGACTTTACTTGCCCAGGCTAGCTTTGAACCGCAATCCTCAGATCTCAACTAGGATTACAGGTGTGAGCCACCAGTGCCTGGCTTGCAGTTGTTTTATTAAGTGTATCTCATGAATAAATTTTAATGAAGAGAGTACAGATAATTTCCAATCAATACCTTCCCATTCTTTTACTTTATTTTTTTTGAGATTTGTCTAAGGGCAGATTGGATAAAAAGATTCTACTCCTAAAAACAAAATGATTTTAAATTGTCCACTGACATATGTCTTAAAATTTCTTCTAGTTCTGTAAAACTATAATTCTTACAGTTCTTAGCAAATACTAGTCATTTCACTGGTAGATTTTATACATTAGGTTTCAGGGATTCAAGATCTTAAAAGACTTAGTTTGAAATGTAAAGGAGGAAAATAAAGTTTAGAACTCTAGATTTTTACAATCCTAGGATCCTATAAATATGAATTTGATGGTATAGTAGGATTTTATAAAAATGAATGTCTAACTGTGTAATAGTAATACTATAAATGTATGGCCAAGTACTGAAATGAAAAAGAAAAATGCAGTGTATTAAAATTGTGCTATTTCATCTTAATAATCAGCTCTTACACTGTGAAAATATTTCCTGCCAATAGCTTTCTTGATGTTTATAGACAATTCTTTTGTCTTATAGACAATATTTTCTACTTAGCTTTAGACAGTTTATTTCAGATTAAGTCTGAATGATAAATGAAATTTAAATTTTTAACTAGAGTGTGTGTGGCTCAGATGATAGAGTACCTTCCTAGCAAGTGTGAAGTCATAAATTATAAATAAATATATATTTTTCCCTTTAGGAGTATCTTCTGTTAGCACTTTATGTCACTGTGTCTTTATATAATTGCTCTGTAGAGTGGTAAACACCATCAGCTCTCAGGCAGACTTCAAGATGTGCGGCTCAGAAAGCAAACCCAAAAGACAGAGCTGGACGTTCTAGATAAGCAGTGTGACCTGGAAATTATGGAAATCAAGCAACTTCAACAGGAGCTTCAGGTAAGTCCTTTGCTGCCAAATTGTCCTTAAACACATATCATTACTAGCACTTCTTTCTGACAGAATACTTGTGCTTTGGGGATCATGTGTCCTTAAGCTTCTGAAAGACTTGTAATATAAATATCCACAGCCTATATGTAATACCAGAATCCATACACCTCCTGAAACTGCTATACATGTGGTTAAGTACTGCTTAACATTTTATAAATTGACTTTGATTACTCTTTTTTTTTTTCCCCCGGTCGTGGGGCTTGAACTCTGGGCTTGGGTGATGTCCTTGCACTCTTCAGCTCAAGGTGAGCGTTCTACCACTTGAGCTACAACACCACTTCTAGTTTTCTAGTGGTTTATTGGAGATCAGAGTTCTCACAGCCTTTCCTGCCCAGGCTGGCTTTGAACCGCAATCCTCAGATCTCAGCCTCCTGAGTAGCTAGGATTACAGGTGTGAGCCACCGGCGCCTGGCTTGAGTTTGAACTCTTAAATAAAAATATTTATATATTTGTTTTAATCCATTCCTGCTGCTGTCACACAATATGTTAGGCCATGTAATTTTGCAACAAATTTATTGCTTACAGTTCTGGAGGTGTAGGAATTTAAAGGTCAAGTCAATAACAAATTCATTGTCTGGTGAGGATTTGCTTTCTGCTATGGAAGTGACATTTTTCTACACCCGTACATTCTGGAAGGGACAAAGTAGTTGCTTTCATTCTCTCTCTCTTGCTTGCTCTCTTTTTTTTTTTAATTTAATTTTTTTTGCCAGTCCTGGGGCTTCAACTCAGGGCCTGAGCATGGTCTCTGAGCTTCTTTGTGCTCAAGGCTAGCATCCTATCACTTGAGCCGTAGTATCACTTCCTGCTTTTTCTGATAAGAGTCTCTTTTCTGTCCAGGTTGGCTTCAGACTCCTGAGTATTTAGGATTACTGGTGTAAGCCACTAGAACCTGGCTTCATTCTTTTTCATAAATACTTTCTTGTGTGCATGGTACTAGGTTTGAACTCAGGGCTTTATGATGGCTAGGTAAGAACTCTACCACTTGAGTCACATATCCTACTTTTATAAGAACACTAACTGCATTCCTTAGAGAATAATCCCCATGATTTAATCACCACCTGAAGTCCTACTTCGTAATACTATAGTATATAGGTTACATATAGACATAGGAATTTTTGAGAGAGACCCACACACACACAAAAAAAATTCCATATCATACATTACCAATACAGCTATTGGAAGAAAATAAAAACATTTTAAAAACACAATATGACTATTGATACTTTAGGAAGTTTTCAGAATTGTGATGAGAGAATGCTGGATAGTTCCTTAAAGACATGATGAGTCTGTTATTTAGGAATAGAGTCTGGTCAATGATTCTTGTTTGTAGAATAGTCATTCTAGAAGTGTTCCATATATCTGGAGTCCTCTTAGCCAGTTCTTGTTACTGTATGACTGGTTATCAGTCCATAAAACATTTTCTTTGTGATTTAAACCTGATTGCCTATTTCTCCCTAAATTCTTAGTCCCTTTGTGTGTGTGTGTGTGTGTAATTCTTAGTCCCTTTGTGTGTGTGTGTGTGTGTGTGTGTGTAGGGAAGGAGGGAGTGTGTGTGTGTGTGAGAGAGAGAGAAGGGAGGGAGGGAGTGTGTGTGTGTGTGTGTGTGAGAGAGAGAGAGAGAGAGATAGAGAGTGACTGTGAGTCCTAGGGTTTGAACTCAGGGCCTAGGTACTGTCCCTGAGTTGTTTTTTTTTTTTGGGGGGGGGGGAGGGGTCCGGTCATGGGGCCTGAACTCTGGGCCTGGGCGCTGTCCCTCAGCTCTTCAGCTCAAGGCTAGCGCTCTACCACTTGAGCCACAATGTCACTTCTGGCTTTTTTCTTTTTGCTTATGTGGTGCTGAGGAATCAAACCCAGGGCCTCATGCATGCAAGACAAGCGCTCTACCACTGAGCCACCTTCCCAGCCCTGTCCCTGAGTTTTTTTTAACTCAAAGCTATTGATCACTTGAGCCCTAGCTCACTTCTAGTGTTTTGGTGGTTAATTGTAGAGGCTGTGGACTTTCCTGCCAGGGCTGACTTCAAACCACAATCTTCAGATCTCAGTATCCAGAGTAGCTAGATTACAGCATAAACCAACAACCAGTACCTGGTTTTTCATCCCTTTTTAATAGATGTTTGCCTTTTGAATTGTATGAACCGCTTAGATTCCTGTTCCCCTTTGTCCACAGTTATCCATTGGAATGTGAAAAATTATGTGCTTGTAGATACTCCTCAATGATGAAGATTTTCTTTTGTGCCTTTAGTTTTCAGCCAATTGTTCATAAATTGATATTATTTTCTTTTTAAATCCTACATAATTCCATTCTAGTTTATTCATAATTTAAAAGCATTTTACAACTGCATGTTATTCCTGTACTAAGTTTCAAAGGTGATTAAATCATATTTTAAAGTTTTCAAAACATTTTTGGAGGGGGGAGGATGGGAAGGGATGGGAAGAGGAAACAAAGGAGGAGGCTACAATGCTTGATAAGAAATGTACTCATTATCTTGCCCATGTAATTGTAACCCCTCTGTACAGTATTTTCACAATAAAAAAAAAAAGTTTTGGGGTTGGGAAGGTGGCTCAGTGGTAGAGTGCTTGCCTTGCATGCCTGAGGCCCTGGGTTCGATTCCTCAGCACCACATAAGCAAAAAGAAAAAAGCTGGAAGTGGCGCTCTGGCTCAAGTGGTAGAGTGCTAGCCTTGAGCTGAAGAGCTGAGGGACAGCGCCCAGGCCCAGAGTTCAGTCCCCACGACCGGACCCAAAAAAAAAAAACAGTATTTCAAACCAAAAAAAAACATTTTTGGATATTACAGAGTTTTAATCAGGTTCTGCTTTTGCTTTTATAAGGAATATCAAAATAAGCTTATCTATCTGGTACCTGAGAAGCAACTACTAAATGAAAGAATTAAAAACATGCAGTTCAACAATACACCAGGTAAGTTCCTTAAATTTTTGTTGTCTTCTTTTATTTTTTTCTCTACAACTGTCAAGTCATATTCTACTAGGTTTTAAAAGGAGCATTCTATTCAAAATAATATTTTTGTATATAAATTTAAAATTTCAGAAAAATCTTGAAAAATACAGGTAAAGCAGGACTGGCAAAAAAAAAAAAAAGAGTCCCATGGACTTTCCTGCCCAGACCGGCTTTGAACCGTGAACCGTGATCCTCACATCTCAACCTCCTGAGTAGCTAGGATTACAGGCATGAACCACCAGTACCCAGCTCTTTTGCACTTTTCTCTTTTGTTTTTTTTTGGTCTACCACTTTGAGCCACAGCTCAACTTCTAGCTTTCTGGTGGTTAATTAGAGGTAAGAGTCTCACAGACTTTTCTCCCTGGGCTGGTTTTTGAACCACTGTCTTCAGATCTCAGCCTCCTGAGTAGCTAGAATTACAGTGTGAGGCACCAATGCCTGGGTAAACTTTTTTTTTTTTTTCCCCCAGTCCTGGAGCTTGAACTCAGGGCATGGGCATTATCCCTGAGCTTCTCTGCGCTGAAGGCTAGTACTCTACCACTTGAGCCATAGTACCACTTCTGGCTTTTTCTGTTTATGTGGTATTGAGGAATAAAACCCAGGGCTTCATGCATGCTAGGCAAGCACTCTACACTAAGCCACATTCCCAGCACCTGACTAAACTTTTTCTCTAACTCTTCATTCATGCAAAGAATTTTACCAGCTTGCCCTGCTGATACCTGCTGATACCTGTGAGACAAATATTATAAGGCTGTGTATGGGAATGTAATATTTTTATTGGCTCAGGTCCCAAATTAGATAACTTTAAAGCAAAGCATACAATAAAACAAAGAAGCCAGACAGATGAGAAACTAAAATACCACCTCTTTATTGATAAAACTGATAAACCAGTGCTTATTGTAGTGGTTTATCTGTGAGTAGTATACTTGTACCTATAAAATAATAAATGTATGTTTCTGTGGATGAACAAATGCAAGTATAATATTCAGAATGCACTATGTGGAAAAGGAACTATACAACTTTTGGGCAGAGACAGGAGAGGGAAACTGAGGGAAAGTGAAGAAAGGATGACGTCCAAAAAAGAAATTTACTCATTACCTGACTTAGGAAATGGTGGCCCCTCTGTACAACACCTTAATAATAATAAAATTATAAGGTTAAAATTTAAAAAAAAAACTGGGCTGGGAATGTGGTTTAGGGCTAGAGTGCTTGCCTAGCATGCATGAAGCCCTGGGTTCGATTCCTCAGTACCACATAAACAGAAACTGGTACTGTTGTTCAAGTAGCAGAGCACTAGCCTTGAGCACAGAGAGGTGTAGGGATAGAGCCCAGACCCTGAGTTCAAGCCCTGGGACCAGCAAAAATAAATAAATAAATAAATTTAAAAAACATGGCAAGAATCCAGATCTGTAGCTCAGTGACTGAACAGAACAATTTGGCTCTTTCTTTCAGACCCTTTTGCTTCTCTCACTGTCTTCCTTCATTTTTTCGTTTTCTCTTTCTTTTTTTTAAATTCTTATTTTGTGCCAGCACTGGGGCTTGAACTCAGGCCTTGAGTACTGTCCTCTACCTTTTTTTTTTGGTTGGTCATGGGGCTTGAACTTTGGGCTTGGGCACTATCCCTGTGCTCTTCAGCTCAAGGCGAGCGCTCTACCACTTGAGCCATAGCGCCGCTTCTGGTTTTCTAGTGGTTTATTGGAGATAAGAGTCTCATGGACTTTCCTGCCAGGCTGGCTTTGAACCACGATCCTCAGATCTCAGCCTCCTGAGTAGCTAGGATTACAGGTGTGAGCCACCAGCGCCCGGCTTTCCTTTACCTTTTTTGTTCAAGGCTAACACTCTACCACTTGAGCCACAGCTCCACTTCCAGTTTTTGACTGGCAAATTGGAGATGAGAGTCTCACAGTGTTTTCTACCTAGGCTGGCTTCAAACCATGATCCTCAGATCTCAGCCTTCTGAGTAGCTAGGATTTCAGGTGTGAGCCACCAGTGCCTAGCTGCCTGTGCTAACTTTGAAGATTATACTTATGTAATAGCACTCATACTTTCATCAATTCTGGGTCAACATAAAATGTTCCCTCTTTCAGGAAGGGGAGAGCTCGTGATTGTAGTCTGATTATATGTTTTGGTTTGATTTGTACTTTGTGAATGAGACTGTTAGATCTTCGTACACTATGTCATTTAAGGCCCAGTGGCCTGCACAAGTAGCCTTCAGGGAGCTCATCCTGAACAGTGATGCTCAGGGCATTAGCAGGGAGGAAGGAAAACCAGTTAGATGACATGAGGGTTAGCACTCTGAGGGGTTTTTAGCCTAATTTTACTTTTGCTAGCTATTTAAGATCACATAACATATTGGGAAAAGAAGACAAAAGTTTGTCTTGAGCTCCTTCATGTTTTTGACCAAAGGATGGTTTTTGAAGGTGCTAGAGATCAGTTTAGATCTGCCCAAGGGCTGAAGCTAGGCCCAAGGATGCAGCTACTGCGTGTCTAGTGCTATGTTTCTACAAGACAGTATCATCTACAGTGTGTGGGAAGAGAGTGGGAGGGTGTCCCATTTCAGTTTTAAGTATTTCTATTTTAAGGGGGAAAAAATCTTGGCAAGATAATTCACCTGGAAGAGCCAGGTGTGATGGCACACACTTGTATTACTGTCACTCAGTAGGTAGAAACAGAAGGATCTTGAGTTCAAAGCTAGCTTGGATTACAGAGCAAGACCCTGTCTCAAAAAACAAAACAACAGCAACAACAAAAAACAGAAACTCCTCAAAGTGATAACTTTTCTCATAATGAAAAACATGAACAATAAGAAAATTGAAAAACATACAAGAATTTGGATTCTGGGCTGGGAAGGTGGCTCAGTGGTAGAGCGCTTGCCTTGCATGCATGAAGCCCTGGGTTCGATTCCTCAGCACCACATAAGCAAAAAGAAAAAA